GTTCTGGGAGAGCCACGGTCAACAGCATGTTCCCACCAAGTCTTCTACTGTGTTTAAGCCTCATTTCTTCCCTCCATCTCCCTCCAACGTAGGCCTCCAAGGAACTCAGCTTTGTTATTCTAAGCCATACATCAAAGTGGCATCCAGGAGCTTTATTTTTCTTTCTTGACTGGACAATCCTGGGGGGGGCGGGGGGGGCAGTTCCTGCTCTTCAGTGAACAGCAGGGGGAAGGGGTCCCACACTCAGTTCCACATCCCAGGAGGGCAGAGAATGCTTCCTCAATCATACTTCCCCAGGTGCTGGTCACCCCCAGCTCCCCCATCCCCCTAGCATATGGAGAGTTTATTGGCAGAGAGGGCACGTGACAAACTGCTGCAGCCAAATAGCCTCCCTTTTGCAAACTGTCAGCGATGCACTTTGCAGGGAGGGAGGCTTAACAAGAACTAGGTGCATCAGCATGATAATAACACCTTTGCTAGGGGGTTTGAGACTCAAGAACCATCATCCAGCAGCTCCACTTTTGGGGGTGGGTGGGGGTCTTTTTTAACTCTCGCAGGCAGTACTACCTGGAACGTTTCTTCTTTCTAAAAGGTTATTTGGGACAGATCAGAGCAAACGCTGTGGTAAATCCTGTTTTATCAGGCTAACGCCGTGTCTGATAAGTTCAATGAAACAAATGCCCAGCTCCATGCTCAAGAACTGCCTTTACCAATGAATCTTTGGGGGCACAAATGTAGCTCTGGACTTTTGTTTTGTCGTGACCTATTTTTTCAAGTTGGGTATTCGCACTGTAAACAGAGCCAGAAGCAAGGTTTCTAATTGAAACTATGGGACAAGCGAATTGGATGTTGACCTCCACGAAGTTACAGGCTAGATGAGTGAATACTAAGCCAGCATTTATTGAGCTCCTACTATATTCCGGGAACTGTTATAAATTTACTTAATAGCTTTGAGGTAGGTACCATTACTATTTTCTTTTAAGGAAACTAAAGTACAAAAATGTTAGTGAATTTGCCAAAGGTCACACAGCCGGGCACAGGTATGGCTGGGCTATTGCTCTGAGCGATCGGGTCTAGGATCAGGCTCTTCACTACTACGTCACCCCATTTCCTGACCTTTCAGGAGGCTGAAAGAACCTCAGTGTCAACAGCCTCCAGCAGGCCTCAAATGACTGGTTCCAACAGCAAAAGCTATAGGAAAAAGCTCAGGCAGGGGAGAATTGCTGTCTCCACAAGGCCTGAGTGCCTAAGACAGCTGTTTATCTCCGCACGTTTCACGGCTAACGCTGCCGTCAAGGTCAGATGATCCTTCCCGATCTGACCTCACCACCCTCCTGCCCATCTCCTCCTCGCTCACTCTGCCTCAGGCCCGCGGCCTCCTTGCTGGTCCTTGAACGTGTCCAGACTACCACTACCTCAGAATCTGTGCACCTGCTGCTACATTTGTCACCTGTTCCCTAGAAATCCGCCATGCTCACCCCTTACCTCTCACAGGTGCCTTCTCAGAGAGATTGTCTCTGGCCGTCGTAAATAAAATCACCTCTCTCTCTGGCCCCCACAGGTTCCTCTCTATCTCCTTTATTCTGCTTTATTTTTCTTTATAGCACATGATGGATAATTTGTATTTAATTCCTCTCTGTACATCCTCCCATAACCTCCAAATATTTACACTCCATAAGAATGAGAACTTTTAAAAATGGTCTATTTTTGCCCCCGTGTGTAGAATAGCGCCTAAAAAATACATTCGATAAATATTTATTGAATGAATGAAGGGCAATGAGCTTCCATGATTTCTGCAATAAAACAATGTCCTCCCAAAGACGGGGTGGGGTCCTCTTTCTAACAACCATCAGCCTCCTTAGGAATCATAAATCCTGGAGCTGCTGAGAACACGACTCTGAGTCTCAGATGGCACCTTTGGGGAGAAGACTCAAACCATCCCACTGTGAGAACCCCACTCCCCTCTCAGTCAGAGCTCTCTACTTCTATCTGGAAAACCCCCAAACCTTTACATTGGAACTAGCCAAGGTAACCAACTAGCGATATGACGCGCAATCCCAATCACACCAATCTGAACACTCAGGGCCTGGGGGCATCTATTCGCCCCTCACGAGTGTCAAGGACCCTCTCTCAGAGCCAGGCACCTGGCTGTGGGCTGCTCTTCTTCACCGACCCACAGCCCTGCATCAAGCCAGGCCTCGCTGGCCCCACGAGGCAACTGCAGAGCAGATTCTGAATAATGAGCCATTACCTTTGTGTCAAAGGTGGCCCTGGAATCCATGTCTCTTTCATTAGGGACATAAAACAGCTCAGCCATACAAAACAGCACACTTGCACACATCAGTCAGCAGAAGGATCATGAGAGCTTTAAAACAGAATAAAACACATACCTCACACAGGCCAAAAGGAAAGGAGTCCGAAGGCCTAGGTGTAGACTGCTGTGGGGAGAGGCCACAGCAGTGCATCCCTTCAGTAGAAAGGGTGTCAGCCAACTTATGTGGCCCTGTGGACACAGGGGTGTGGTCCTGGCCCCAGGAAGACCTGGCCTCCCGCAGCCCAACGCAGGGTAGCCACGTGGTCTGCCATGAGTATCATCAGGGATGCGCAGCCCGAAGTTTTCCAGGATGCCAGTTCTAATACAGCATTTGCTGACAGCAATATCAAATCCATTAATTAAACGTCTACCAGCAGTCAGCTCCCTCACTGGGCTTTTCCTGTCTCATCAATTTCGCTCAATGCAGAGCAGGCCCCTGGACAAGCCCGACGGGAAACCAACTGTCTGATTATTCAGCATTTGTTAAGCTTGAACTTGGTGGCTTTGACAGATATTAAACCCTGACTAGGCACAGAAGATGAAAGGGGGAGCGGGGGAAGCCAGCACCCTCGCCTCCCTCACCTCACCTCAGCCACCAGAATAAAAAGATTCTGGACATCCTAGAAAAGAAGAAATTTTGCTTTCACGTTTTTCCTTCCTGTAAAGAGGCGGACATTGCGCTTAATGAATCATCTTATGCTCGATTTTTCTCGTGGGGTCTGCTTATGTTTGGACTCAGGAAGGTGCTTTTCTTGTTCTATCTCTGCACCTATTGTCCTTGAATATTTTCCTCTTCCCAGTTCCAAGCTCTCACTGTATTTAAGACCTAGGTCAACACATGCCTCGGAAAGAGTAACAATTTTTAAAGGAGGGGAAAGGGGAGTCCACTTCTTTCTTCCACTCTGCCGAGGATGATTTTCATGTAATACTAGGCTCCTCTGGGTGGAGACCTGGATATTTTAAAAGCGCTCTGAGACCCCGATCACGGTGCCCAAGGGAAAGCAGGAAAGGAGGCCTGGGAACTGATGAGTCGAGTGCTCTCTGTGGAGGCAGAGACAGGAGACCTCGTTTTGTGGATCTGCTGGGTAGACAGACGCCCCGTGCCTCCTCTGACTGGCACCACCGGTAGTTAACTGGCACTTCTATTTCTCCCAAGGGCACCAAGCTCAAGAGTCTCCAGTTCTAATCTTGTTCTCTTCTCTCTGCCACCAACTGTTCCCAAGGGTCGGACAACAAGTACGGAATTCTACGGTTTGTACAGGCTGTAGCTCCGTTTTAACAGGAGCTTCCCAGCACCACATGCTTCGTCCCAAAGAATGAAGTCTATCTACTTCAGGGTCCGTGGAGGGTGAGCTGGCAGGCTTATCTGAGCAGCACCCTGAGGATGGGGGGCTTTCTGTGCCAGGCGGCCTGCATCTGGGAGTCCCAGGCCACACTTTCTTGGTTATCTAATTCCCATGTGGATCCCACCTCTGACTCTTGGGAAATCCCCGAGATCAGTGGCTGACGGGCTGAAGTTCTGCCCGAGACAGGAAAACCATGTACGTACACGCAGTGTGAGCTGGCTCTACAGGTTCTCATCTCAAACGGCACTGTGTGCGTCTCCAAGTCACGTCTGAGGGCTCAGCTCAGGAGAAGGTAAGGGGGCAGAGGGGGAGAGAGGCGCTAGAGAGCGGGCTGAGGTATTATTTCCCTCTACCAGCCATACAATTCTGTGGAGTTGGCCAGTTACAGGTCCAGAAGGGGACTTAGAGATGATCTAGACCACTTTTTTAAAAAACAGATTAGGGGACGCAGGCCACTGAGGTTTCCCACATGCACCCACATGGTGATGGCAGAGCAGGGATGAGAATCGGAAATTGTGACGCCTACCCCGAGACTCCGTCGGTGGCAGCACTGAGCCTGACCCAGTGTTTAAACACTGAAAGTTGTTATTCTAACACTAGAAACACTGACTCCCTCCCTTCTTAGATTCTCAACCCACTGACACCCCAGTGACGCTGCGTACTAAACGAGTGGGCAACGGGCCGTGGGGCCCATGGGTCACTGTAGCGATTCGGGAGAGCGCGGCAATGCCCCGTCTGTGGAAGGCTCCCTCCAGTGGCATGTGGGACGTCTCTGGTTTGAACAGGTGTCTTGGGAGTAGAGGAGGAAATGTGTGTCCTGACTTTTGAGATGGAGGTAGCGGGGCCTATCCCAGGAAGACCTATTTTATGGGGTGGAGAATAAACGTTCAGAGCATACCAACCACAGTCCCCAAATCACAGGATTTATTATGGTTAGGGATGTATAAGGGTTGCCTATAACCCCTGTAAGCAGTGTGAAAAAGAAAAGCCACTGCCTCTTTGCCATCTCTCTCGTCAACAAGACTCAGGCCACAGAGCTGAGTCGGTGCTAATTCTAGACCACATGATGCCCAAAGCCAGCCGCTGCGTATTCCTCTCAGGGGATGCCAGAGTGTCCAGCTAATGGAAGCAACTCAATCAATACTTAGGTGAATGCAAATGTGCTTCCAGGGCGTCTCTGAAACATGAGCACTTTATATCTAAATGCAGAGGGATGGTCAGTCTGCAGACACAAGCTCTAGAAAAGCCTGTGGCAACTCTACAGCTTGAAGACATTGCCTTGGAGAGAGTGCTCCGTTAGCCAGGCCAGCACCCAGCCGCCCCCTCTGGCCTCACCATACCTTCCTCAGCTCATCATTCTCCCTGGTGTGGGCGTCCTCCAGGATCTTGCGCTCTGAGTGGGCCCTCTGCAGCTCAGTCCGCAGGCTCTCGACCTCCTCCTGCAGCCTCAGGCTGCTGTCGCTACCTTGGCTCTGCTGGTAGTGGGCCAGCTCCTTTTTCAGCTTCTCCACCTCCATGGTGTGTGTGGAGGTGACCGCCGACAACTGCTCCGACAGCGTCTTGAATTCTTTGTTCTGTGGAGAGCCGAGAAGGGAGAAGAGATGGAGAACAAGGTTATCTGGCCAGGAAAAAAACACAAAGGCAATTTGAAAAAGAAACTTCCAAGGTGGAATCCAATCTCACAATCGCTGCATGCTTGAGTGCTTTCCTGGCATCTCCCTAACAAAATTCTATTGTGGACCTAGGAGAAATATAGAAAAACAAAAATCACCAATACTGATGCTCAAGGAGCATTTATGAGTAGTGGCAGAGCTGGCAGCTGGCTGACGACAAGTTAGCTTTCTATGTCTGGCTGGACAGATCTTATGCCTGGTTTTCAAGCTGTAGCAACAATGTAGCTGGCTTCCTGGGTCTACAGCCTTTGCTTTTCAGGATTCTCTGCTCTCTCACACTGGGCTCTCCTAACCATGGACTGGACGGCACAAAGAGCTGCAACCTAATCTCTGGCTCTGGAACAAAGGACCCCTTCAGCATCCCCTCTTCCAAGGAGGCCCTCCGTGGGGCCTCGAGATCCCTCTCACCACCTGTCAGCTCACCCTGTAAGACCCTGACTCCAGAAGCTGACACCCTGGCAGAAGCTGTCCATGTCATGGCCCTGCCCTGCAGACAGGTTGCCGATCACTCAAGGACAGGTAAGTGAGATGCGTTACCCCATGTGCCTGGCGCAGGTATGGAGGGGGCCTGGGAAGCGAACAGTAGATGAGTTTACACAGATGAAGCACAGAGGACCTAGGGCCAGGTCAAGTGCCAGTGTAAACATGGGCAGAAACTGGTCCTGTAGGAGCTGAGAGTATCAGTGGAAAATGGTCAGCGGGGAAAGTGGAAGAGAAAAAGGTTTCTCCAAATAAGCAAGCAACAAATAGTTACTGACAATTCTTCATTGCTAGTTTCTGCAGGAGCTCCAAGCAGAACAGAGATATTGGCCAAAATACCCATAAGCTGGGGCATCAGGAATCAATTATTTATTCACATCAGCAATTAAGTTCCATAGAGAGTAGTGAGGAGCAAAAGAACAGCTGTCGGACCAAGTACAATGCCACGCACGCCATGGGACCTCAAGGCTGAGACCCTCCTCTTTCTCAGGGAAGCGCTGCACTGGGGCTCATTGTCAGGTGAGCAGTGTGGGCTGGGTTTCAGTGCTACTTGTCCCCACAGCCAGTTGGCTTGTGCAGTGCACAACCAGAAGAGCTGTACACAAGAGCCTCTAAGCGGTTCCCAACCAATGGTCTACAGATCCCTGAGGGAGAGAGGGAAAAATCATTGCCAGTCTGTATCATGAAAAAAACACATTCCACACATAATACTAGCTCTTAATGGGTGCTTACTATGGGGTAGGCACTGTACCACAGGATTCATATATACTCATTCACTCCTCAGAAAAATTCTACAAAGGAAAGTTGATTCATAGCCCCATTTCACAGTTGAGAAAAACAGGAACAGACCAAAAAACTGTGACTTGTAACATACTATTTTCAAATGTATATGGATGCTCTTGTGAGTGATAAATATTAACCAATTTAGCATATTTACTGAATGCATACTAAGTACTGAATCAAACTGATTTAAAAGGCTGCTGACTGAAACCATGTGTTAGTGTAAAATTTTTCAGATAAAACATATTTAAATACAGCTTTATATCCATAAAGGTCTAAGAAACTTGATCCTCGCTATAAAAATATATAGGTGCAACTGGCCTACTCACACGTTATGCTTAAGTCAAGTCAAACTGGTAGACGGCTGAGTTCTTAGGTTACAATATTTTGGCTGAAAAATGTCACACCACAGCCCTAAACCAGGGAGATTGTAAGAAATGGTCCCAGGAACTGTCACTGTATTTGTGACTGAAGAATATTGTGAAGGATGTGGCTTATCACAGTATGAAAACCCACAGGAGACGTGTCAGCACCAAGGACAGCTCCAACGCTCCAAACTGTTCCCTCTTTCGACGACTCCCAAGTGGCCCTATTTCCTTGTTTTTGTTGTTTCACCAGGGACCACATGTCACTTTTCTGTTTCTCTCTTTGGGTGCACAAAACCTTATCCAAGAATTCTGGGTGCTAGCCTTACGCTGGTTTTATTTTTTTGTTTCCTCTCTTGCTGACTTCCTGGGGATTCTTTTTAAAAAGCTTCAAATCCCCACCCCCGCCC